AAATTTACGCGCATATTATAGTATTATTAAAACGCACGTAGCAATAGGTCAAATATTGAAATACTGCGAATTTTTACCAACGACTGGTTAAATATAAAGTTAATGTTCAAGATGTATTACATTATTATCTGTGGCATAGGTCAAAAATAGCTGTTCGATTTTTTTTTTTTTTTTAATTTCTTCTGTATGATTAACAATTGCCTAAACGCCATTTCGAAATGTTTATCTTTGTTTTAAATTTTTTAAAACTTTTTGTGACAACGATAGCTGAAAGGTAACATTAGAAAAAATATCTTCAACTATTATAGGTACATGTAACTCTACAAATTTTTTACCAGATATAAATATTTTTTAATCCAAGCCAAACATAAGTACCTACCAAGCCATTTGGATAAACAAATATAGCATTAAATTTATAATATAGGAAATCAAACCTATTGGAAATATATTAGAATATATACTAATTTTTCTGCATTTTTATTGGTCTTTGTACTTATTGTAACCATGTAGATACTTGAAGTATGAAGCCAATTTTTTTCACTTTTCGTACAGCACACTTTTTATGAGCTTCTATTAAAGAGAATCGTAGTGATTAATTCAGGGTATAATTTTTAAATCACTTTTCCTAAAATTTTATTGTACTTAATACTGTTATTATTATATATAGCATTAATATATTTTTATAAAGAGAATTTAATGTATATTCATAAAAATAAAATTATGTTTATTACGAAATCATAGTTACAATTGTTGTAATTTATATACGTATGTATTAATATTAAATAAATAGCAATCTTCGAAAATTAAAAATCAATATTCGACATTTTTTAATATTATAAGACATTATTATTTTCAATTAATTAGTTTTGAAACTATTTTTTTTTTATCAACTGTAATTTTATGTCGTACAAAATAATTGCAATTCTCATGATTGAATCTTTGAATAAAGTCCGGGAAAAATGGTGTAATTAATTCATAAAATGCACACTTATTCACTTCATGTTAAGTGCACGAAAAATAGCCATTGTTTTAAATACAACCCTGTTATAACATAATAATATATTATCAGGTATAGTAAAATTAATATTTAAAGTCTCCCCCTATCATCTCAAGCACGCTCAAGGAGAAGGGTAATCAGCTTAGTTCATATTATCATTTAATTTAATTTGTATTTATGTATCTTACCTAAGTTTAGTTGAATCATTAATTATTAATTATTATAGTCGCAATATATTACAAAAATTTACTGTAGATACCTAATGATATTTTTAAACATCGAAATTAGAAGTTTTTCAACATGACTTTGCCAAAATAAATATTCTATATGCTAGAACACAACACCACATTTAATAATGAACTATTTGTCTTATTATCGGACGACATTTGATAATAATATTATAATAGGTATATATAAGTAAAAAAACAAATTGTTTATACATAGAAATAAATAAATAAATGTTCAGTCTGGAGTATTATTATATATGTAAAGTATGAAAGATTTCAAATTAAAAATTCATCATCAGATATATACTAAGTCAACACAATCGCGACTTAACGATAGAGTATTATATAGTATATTATAAACTATTTGTTTATTTATATACTAATTTACGAATATTAACAATTTACTCATTTTTAATTTTTGTTTTATTTTTTATTATTTTATTGTTTATTAATAATAATTGTATTTGAATAAATATAACTGAACACGTAATACTATAACTAGTTAAAAAAAATTAACGTCTGTTTTTAGTTTATTGATTTAAGTGAGAATATTATTAGTCATTTTAATATATTTATTTTACTTCTTACTAATAATCTTGTGGTCATTTTAGACGATTCGTTTTATGTGTACACTTGTAAAGTAAGAAAAAGTAAGTACACAGAAGTACTACTTATTACTTACAGTAGTCTGTATTTCCGCAGACTTGTGTTTTTAAACAAATATAGTTTATTTGATTGGGTAATTATCGACCATTCGTATTCCACGCGTATAAGGGAATTCAAATATTAACATAATACTTTAGACTTTGTAACACTTTTACAAGAATACAATGAATACAAAAATAATTAAAATCGAACGATAAAAAATTATTTAACATAACATGAAGAAAAATATACTCACCGAAAAAATAATTCACAATCAATACAATCAAATGATTAAGTTGTATATATATTAAATAAAACAAATAATTAATTATTATAAATTAACTTAAAAAAATTAAAAAAATTAGGTAGGTACCTTGATACTTAAACTTTTTGACTTGTCGGTGTTAAACTTTAAATTAAATTATGAATTACGCTTACATTTGTGAACCAATGCTATAATATGTATTATTGTAAACACACGTATATAAACAACGTATAATTTTAATAACTGATGGACATGTTATTTTTATCGAAAATTTATTTTTAGTTGTGCTCGAAATATATTTGAACACATGACATGTGTATAATATATGTATACTATGTGTTCAGCATATATTGTAGTGTTATACAATTCCGTATTTTCCCTAAGGGCACGTGGGGAAATACCTACTTACCAACTTAGTGTCGTAGTGTCTTTGTTTATGAGAATTACATTCAAGAATATAAGAAATTAAATATAAGAAATATATTATTAACGGGTTAAGGTTTTATTATATGAAAATATCAAAGGAACTTGAAGGGGGGGGGGGTTCTAACACCAGACAAAATTCTAAAAACCGCCACTGTAAGAGGTTCATAAGCCATGCCGGGCAGAGCCGTGTTTAACGGGGAGCAAAGGAGAGCAACTGACTTGGGGTGGCAAATTGTTTAGGATCAATGTAAAATAAAATATCTATTCTATAATAAATGTTACAAACTATTTTCGTTACGTTCCTGTACGTTTTTTTCCTGGAAAAAAATCGGGTACAAGTAATATACTCGTTATATTACATCTCGGCAGGCGGCACATTGCACCGTTAGATGTGTAAAAAATCTTTTCAATCAGACGATTTTCGACGGTTAAAGTATTATTTTTCTTAAGGGCGGCAACATAGCTCATACCGTGCAGCGGACCGAAAAAGTGTGCCACGGCAGGTGGTGTTAAAAAGTAGCAGCACGGACAATAGAAGGAACATGACTTCTAATCGCAGAGCAAACCGCTAGCCAGTGGCGTATATAGGGGGGGGGGTTTGGGGTTCAACCCACCCCCTCCCCGAAATTAATGGTTAGTACGACCCACGTGTGCATTTCTTTAATCTATGTATTAATTAAAACCAAACTGTCTAGTATGGGAAAAAAATGCTCTCTCCTAATTTTTAAGCAAATTATACGCCCAATTCTTACCTACGCTTGCCCGGTATGGGGTAATTGTGCATCCTCGCACATCAAAAAAATGCAAATTGTCCAAAACAAAGTCCTCAGAATAATTGCAAATGTTCCGTGGTTTGTCAGAAATCCAAATCTGCTATTGATACTTTGAATAAACTATCCGTTGATTTTTTTTTCCAAATATATTAGAAACTTTACCAGTCTCAATAGCGTCATCAGAAAGATCGTTTTCGATATTGAAAAGATTGAAGTCGTGCTTGAGAAATAGTACAAGCGAAAATCGACTAACAGGATTATCTCATGTCAATTCATCGAAGTATTTCAATAAACACTGAAGAAGTGATAAATAATTTTGCAAATCTACCTCGAAAATTAGACTTTGTCCTGCAATTAAATTTATGTATTCTAATTTTCATAGTTATTAAAAATAAGTTAATTTATAACCTTCATATTATTTTACTATATATTTTTTCATAACCCTCCCCGTAATTAATTCCTATATACGCCACTGCCGCTAGCCATGACTGCTATTCGGTAGAACTGTTATCAGAGTAGCAGTTGGTAGGTACCGCGATCACAGCGATTTGTATTTCCACGGTAGCATTTTCACGCCGCGATCAATGGTTTTCGCAGTTTTTACACCGCTAGTGCACGGCGGTTTAACAATACGTTTCATCGGGCGGTACGGAGACCGTGGGCGCTGATTTTTACCAACACCTAACCGTTGTTACGGGTCCGACGCAATTCGACGACGGAAATAGACGCACCTACGCCGCCGCCGTAATTTTCCATCGTATCGTTTTCGCGGAAAACAGAGAACGTACGCGCGACACAAACGTAATACGAGATGGAAACGGTGCGGCGGGGCACGCGGGTTTGTTTGCGCGACGCACTCGTCAACGAATTTTTCAAGACTCGAACCGAACGAGCAATAATCCGTCGGGTGGGTGGGGTACACTCCGGGGTATTTTTAATTTTTATCTTCCGCACCGTTTCACGCGTCTCCGCGTTAGGTTATAACGGGTAACAGCAGTGCTGTAAAGAATACTTGTACAAAAGCATTTGAGTAAATACTCGAATACGTTTTTTTTCAAGTATTCAAGATACTACTCACCAATACTTTAACCGTGTAGCATTTCAAATACTACTCGAATGCTTAAAAAAAAAAAAAAGTATTTGTTTTTTTTAAGTAGGTTTCTGATCAATTTAACATAGACACATAGTAGGTTTTTAATAATTTTTATTTTATTTATTTATTTAATAAACGGTTATTACATTTTGAAAACATAATGTTTTCAAAATTGTCATCGGTCGTAGAGCTTCTTTTTTTTTTTTTTGGTCACGGTTGCTCTTCCCACACTAAATACGGCTAACATAGAAATACAGAATATTCAACAAAAGTATTATTCGGTTATAATTGCACTTGGCAATAGTATTTATCCAACTAAATATTTCGAATAAAAATATAATATTCGAAAAAGCGTTTGGTACAAATAAGTATTTAATAGAAAAAAAAAAAATTATTCAAAATACCGTTGAAAACACTTCGTCCTGAAAGTATTTAAAATGTTTTCAATTCAATGCTTGAAAAAGTATTTTTTAATACTTTTACTCGAATATTTCACTAAGCACTGGGTAACCATTTATCAGTATTTGATCGGAAAAATAAAATACGGCCCTCTCGCGCCCGAAGCGGTGCATGGTTTGGTTGGTTACGCCGTACGCGAATGTCTACCCGCTGACCGTTCGGCGAATTATTATTATTTTTCAAACGTCGTTTCCCAATGCTGCCCAAACGCGCGACGATCAACCGGGACGGCCACAGCTGACGGTGTACGGGCCGGAAACGGCTCTCGGTCGCGCGTTTCGTGCGCAGTCGAACGGACGATAAGCGCGTTCCGTCCTCCCCGGGCAGGATATCAGTGTATTGTGTTACCGATGTCCAAGACGAACATATTTGGAACCCCTGCGCGGGCAATCGTCGCGGTCGCCGAGCGATAGGAATTGATTTCAAGTGTGTTACTAGGTTCACGTGAGTTGATTTCAATTAGTGCTGTTTCACATTTCTATTGGCGGCGTTTGAGTCGAATTCGTTTTTTTTTTTTTTTTTTTTTTTAATTTCCTCCCGTTGCCGTCCGTTCGCCATTTAAAGAAATTAGATTTGAAAAATAAAATATCCGTTTTACGGTTCTTCAGGACCGTCGCCATTCAGTAGTCGGTCAGCACTTGGTCTGCTATATTCGAACAAAGTTCTTTACCCGTCTATTGCTCGAGAATCATCTTCCGACGAAACTGCTACCAATATGGCAAACGGCATGAAGAAACTTGACGAATACAATTTGTCTGTCCTCCGCGAACAACTGTCGTTACCGGCCAACAAATATTGCTTCGACTGTCACCAGAGAGGACCGACATATGTGAATGTTACCATAGGATCGTTTGTCTGCACGTCGTGTTCCGGTCTATTGTAAGTATTTTCTTGCCATCAATTTGATGATCTGTTATTATATTGTACTTCTTTTGCTGTGACAATAAATATGCATAATATAATACTCATGTGAATTCAATATCCATCTGCTTGACTTTTGCATAGGTATATCTTGTTGTTCAATTCCTACAGCACTGGTTTTATAAATGAAATTTATACTTAATTTTATTTAGTTTTATTAACTATACATTTCTATAAATTTACTTATCAACCATTAAACTATAGAAGTAATCTTTGTTCTATTCATTGATTAGACATCATTTAGCAAAGTAAAATTTAGAAAATGATCTTTAACGCTTTTATAATTGATAAGATAAAAAACTCTTTATGTTTACATTCATAGATCATTTATGTAACTGTAAATATTAAGAATACTTTTCAACCTGAAAACATAAACTAATACAAGTTACCTATATAATGAATATATTACATATTTTGTTTCATTATTTAATATATTTATTATTTTTATGTTTTTTTATTTTGAAAACTAGGTATTCTTGATAAATTTTAAAATGATTTCACTGGTTTTCAACAAATTTATATTTTAAACTTTATTGTTTTTGTGAAGTACATTATTTATTTAAATATTCTAGTACAGTCTAGACAAAATCTGTATCTAAAATCCTACAAATATTTTTGAATTCATTAAATATTTATTTAAAAAAATAATTGTTTATCTGTCTATCACATTTAATATTATATTTATGTTAAGAATATTTTAAAATCTTAAAATTTATGTATAATAATATTTATTATTATTTATTATTATTATATTTTTTGTTTAGAGAAATAATAGATTTTGTTTGATTTAGTGCCAAATTAGTGATATTAATATTTATTAAAGCTTAATTTTATTTTTATTGCAAATGAAAAAAAAATTCCCAATACTCTGTCTTTGTATTTTACATTTATATTTTGTTATTGTTTGATTCATAAATAATTGTATTACATTATGAATCAATAGCTAATACCTACTTGATAATCTTATAAATGTTGAGATTAGTTTATGCAACCCATCCTATTGCTATATTTAATTAATATTTGTTGTAAGTAGGGAAAATATATGTACATTTTGAAGTTTGATTATATTTTATTTTTTTATTCTAATTTTATTATTTTTTATAAATAAACCCTTAGCAGCAATGGTCATTGGGTGGTATTAATATTAGCAAGAGCTTATTACTGAATTACATGTAGTTTGCTTATAGCTAATTGAGACTAGATAGTTTAATGTATGTATTTAAGATAATGAGAACTTGAACTTGAGATTATGTGATTATATTTCTATTTTGTTTTATATCAGTCAACTTTTGAATATCTTTTTTTGTTATTATAAAAATCCATTCCTAATTGAGGTTTGAATTAATTTATTAATATATTTAAATATATCTTTGATCAAAGTATAGATTTAAACTTAATAGCATAATATCTGTGATTAACTATCAGAGGGCAATTCAGGATCTTATATATCATAATGTACCAATTATAATTGCATTAACACAGTATGTCAATACTAGAATATCTGTATGCAACAAACATAGGAAGCCTAAATAAATATTTGGTACCCATTAATGTGTACATATCTTAATACTGACTTTTTCGTACAGTAAGCTATGGTGTTTTCTGTGACCCCTTATTTTATAATATCTGGCAGTGTTGATAGTTATTGATTATTATCTTTTATACACATAACTTTTTAAAAAAATTTATTAACTTTTTTTAAAATATTAAAAAAAAAAAAAAAACTGAACTTAAAACCAATACCTTTATGTTTATCTTTTATTCAAAATTCAAATTCTATTAAATATAAAACCAAAATATTTATTAATTTGTTATAAAATAAATTAATACTTATCTAGATTTTTCCTTCATCATTTTAAATTTTCATATTGGCATTTAATTTATATAAAAATATTATGAATAATTATATATGTTTATAGTTTACATATAAATTGTATTTTAACACCAAGAACAAAATCTAATGAGATAAAACTATATAGATATCTAATTAATAATTTATTTTAAATTATAATACATGCATTTTTAATATATTTATTAATGAATTTATTAATACATAAGTAATGAAAAAACTGTGCGTCTTAAAAAATGGTAAAGTATTCAATGGGGTAATTTATTATTGCTTATTAGTAATTAATAATAATTCCTAGTAAAGCAATATGGATCAAGTAAAAGAAAGCGCTTATTCAGTTGCAAAACCGACTTATGGGTTAAATACAAAAAAAAAATTAAAAATTAGTTATATTTTACATTCTGAATAAAATTAATATTATACCTATATATTTTATTTATTTCCTTTAGAAAAACTGTATCAAAATTCGACTTTGTGATCTACAAGGTCTAGAATTAGTATCAGAATTTCTTTAGAAAAGTCATTAATTTTAGTAGTTTTTCATATAAAAAAAAAATTACTTATGAATAATAAATCTCTTTATGAAGTAAGGTTTATTTTTGTTTACATTTATAATAGGATAGTTTCAAAAACATTTTAAATTTAATTTAAATAGTGTCTTAATATTATTAATATAGGTATACAATATTTGTGTGGGTTAAGTAATTTTTAGGATAAAATTTAAATTCAGTGATTAAATTTTTAATTGCTTTTAAGTGTATATAAATAATTATGAGCATAATTTATCACTACTTAAAATAATGTTTTTAAGTTATAACCTATTCAAGGGCCATCATTAACATATATTTACATATTTTGAATACTCTGACTGATCATCAATATGATTATAAATTTTTTTTTTTTGTATTTCATAAATCATATTGATAATTGATATAAGTAAAATATCTTAGAAAAATAATAATAATAAAAATGATTTATTGTAAAAAAAGAGTTAACAATAAATTATAACACTCTTTGTGAGCTTGGAGTACAGTAGGTAATATTAAATAACTGTCTTATAAAAAATGATTAATATTATAAAATACTTTCTAAATTTTTCAAAGATAATAATATCATTGAAGTAACATTATTATTAAAATGACAAGTGTAAGAAGTTACAAATTAAATACAATTAATACAGCATTTAGTTTTTTATTAACCTGTAATTTTTATGAATACATATCAAGCACAATAAAATTGCATGAAATACTGTGGTTGTTCTTTACATGCGAAATGAATAAATTTTCAATATTGTTCACAAAAAAAAAAAAAGCATTATTATCATTTATCAAGGATCTAAAAAAAAAATGTATTATATTTTATGCCATGTCTGTTTTATATTACAGTTAGTAGTAATTACAATCAGTTAAAAGTTGCCATTTAATTATGTCACCATTAAATATTTTTTCCTAACAAAACAGTTCAAAATGTTTTTAGTCTAGATGATCTGTTTTTTATTTAGATAAATATGATATTTGACTATCTGGTGATATACAGGCTGGTGACTAATATTGCTATATTGGTCTTTAAACTTAAAAAAAATGTATAATTACTCTCAAAAAAACGATTCTGAATGAAAGAGATTAGGTGAATCAGTTTATATATCTTATGGTTGATATAATAGTATTATCAGCTTTTTTAATAAGGTTATTTAACTTTTAACTAAATAACTTTTAATTAAACATTTCAATTGCCTATATATCCGTACATATTTCAGTATATTTATTTTTTTTTTAATTTATAGGAAGAAACATTGCACTTTTGAAAATGTACAGAGGGAGAGGGGGAGGGCTACAAGTGAAAAATATTGCTGAACACTGAACTAAGCACTATTTCCTCTATGAGAAACTTCCCAAGATTATAATGATTTAAGCAATTCTGGTTGAAATTGTGTACAATAGAATAAAATACATTATTCTTTCACTCAGAATCTAAAAAAAGTTTTTATTGTTGAGTTATATATGAAAATAATACCCATTTTAAATATTAACAATAATAGTGAATTAAAAAACGTTTTTCTCTGAAATAAAAGACATCTTCATTAAATCAACATCTAATAAATTTAAATTTTGTGAATCATTGTAAAATTCTATCAATATTAGATGTTATAAAAACCATAATATACTACAAACTTATGCATGTATTTATGCATTAACTAAATTGCTTATTGTCACTAAGAATCATATTACAAAACAATTTTAATTAAATGTATAATTGAATTATAATAGTATGCATTACTAGTACCATTGATTAAATATACTCATGTATGTGTATGTATATAAAATCTGGTACTACTGGTAGTACTATTATTTTATTTTATTTTATTATTATTTTTTAATCTATTTAAGCAACCTGCAACTTAATATTTTACAATAAATATTTACTATGTCAACTCATATAACAAATGATTCACTTGATATAGTATGTGTCATATTATCGTCAAAATAAGTTTATGTTTCATACTTGGTACTGCAAGCAAAGCAATTGTTTAGTTCGTATAATATTCAGGATGACCAATGACAATATTTTTAAAGAATTATTTAGCATGTTTAACAATGATTCTTAAGAATGTCAATATTAATTGGTGAATGATAGTATACAAGCACTTATGACTGTTATAGAAACATATTATTGAGTTCCTGAACTAAGATTCATCATGGTCATTAAACAACAATTCAACACAATTAAATTGATACAATATTATAACTAATAGTTTGAAGCTGTGATAAATAAAATAATATTGTATGACAAATATATTCTTTGCAGATTTTCAGATATTATATCTTATCATTAATAATAGTCATATTTTAATTAATATAGTTAAAGTTGTTTGAAATATTAGTTAAGTTATATAGTTTATATAATTATATCATTAATAGTATATTAATTTGTTAGGTTTTATTTAAAATCTTATACATAGTAAATAAATATGATGTGTTTATGTTTGATAAAATGTATATATTATATACATTATCGGGGAAATCAGATGAAATTACTATTATTTTTAAAATTATAGTATCAAATATATTATTTAGATAAATAATGTAGGAATTTTTGTATTTTTCCATTTATAAGTACATTTTATTAAAGATAATTTTCTAGAATTTTCATAGTATTAACATTTTGAATTTCTTAGTAAAATAATTCATTAAAACTTAATCTAATACTAATGAGTTAATATTAAACTTACAATATAAATTGGTGTATATGTTTAAATTTCAAGTAAATGTATATAGTTTAAAAATGAGAGAATATTTACTAATGAACATTTGTCTTACCAGTACTATTAAATTTAATAGATAAACTGTTGTAAATTATCAAAAATGTTATATTTTTTTTGTTTTAATTTATCAATTCAATTTCAATAATAGGTGCTGTGTAGTGTCAATAAAGTGACAGACATACATATGGGAATATGATAAATATAATAGCGTAGTTATAGTACAACAAGTTTTTTACCATATTTTTAAAATAAATACTGTACAATTATTTTCTAGACGAGGTTTAACACCACCACATAGAGTTAAAAGCATATCAATGGCAACATTTAGTACGGAGGAAATAGATTTTATCAAATCTAGAGGAAATGAGGTATGTTATACACATTATTAGAATAACTAAATATTGTAAGTATTTAAATATTTTTATATTCTTTATAATTTGTATTTAATTCATTTGTTTGTATTTTAATACAAATGGAAGCATTGAATTATATTTGTGTTGTAAAATATTATTTTATCATTTATTATAAAAAAATTAATTAAAATAATGTAATATAAAGTTATATATATATATATATATATATATATATATATATATATATATATATATATATATTTTAAGCAGTTTTATTTAGTAGTGAATAAAATTACTGTAGTATTTAAAGTATTAAATTATTGAAAAAAGTAGTGTGCTGACATTTGGCCATTCATCATATGGCTTAATCTTGTATGTGTAATGTATTATATTTGTTTATTTTACAAAACAATTTACTTATTTAATATAATATACTTAATCAATAAAGGCCCATTTTAATTTGTTTTTAAGCTCTCAAGCCTAAAACAAAAGTATATCATAACTAATTTGAATTATATTTATTTTTTGTATTTTGTATATTATTAAGTATACATGAAATAATGCTATGTAGTAAATAATGTAAGTTTTAGTTCAAGTCATATATCATTATAAAATGCAATATAAAATTAATTATTTTTTTATTTTTTTGGCACCACATTTAAGTGTTTGTAATGAAATTTTCTTCAATGATTTTGTTTATAATTTCGTGTTAGCCATAATATTTTTGATTCAATAATATAATATAATAATAACATATAATATAATTAAAATATACATAAATTAATTAATTTTTGTAATTTAAATATGCAATGCTTACGTAAAAAAATATACATGGTTTTACAATTTATATTATAATTTAATTTTTATTTGGTAAAAACATTTGTTAAGTTCATTTCTGTAAGTATAATAAAATTTGATACAACACTTAGTGAGAAACCATAATTCTAGCTAAAAAAACACCAAAATATTCATTAACTTTTTCATGTTATTTTTAAATGTTTATTTTTTATAAATATATAATAATGAAAAAGATGCATATTTAATTTTCAATTGGGATTGCAGTAAAGCAAACATTGAAATTGAAAATATGAATAATGAATATATGAAAAACAAACTCTATAGTTATTTTATGCAAATAAATTTTGATTACTGATTATCAGGGCTCGGAAGTTCTAGCAAATGCATATTTTTTTTGGTTCGTTTTAGAACATCCAAAGTAAGATACAAATATGTTTCTCACTACTCGAAAATCATACACAAAATTTAATTTTGCTATTTTTTAGCATATTTACGGGTTTTATTGCTATTTTGCTAATTTAGGGCTTATAGTGCTATTTTCGGGTATATTATCACATAATGTAGGAAATAATTACATTTTGTTGATAATAATTGTATTTACTTAGTTATGTTTTTAAAAATATTTTAATTATTGGAAATAATTAGACCTCATCAAATATTATTTTATGTTTTCATTAACAATTTGATGTACTATTAATAGTTAGTGAGTGACATCATTGTTATTCCCTGATTATATCATTGCATTAGATTATCAAACATTTTAATAATCTAGGATAATTTCCAAGGTAAATATATAAAATAATTGAATAATAAGTAAATTTCTACAAATATATTTAAGTAATTTAACATTTTTGTTAACAGTTTATAATTCAATCAGTCCAGCCTGTCTAATGAGCCCAACAATTTGTAAAATTACATTTTTTTTAAGTTAAATACATATTTTTTGATATTTCATGCTATTTATAACACATATTTTAGAGTTTTATAGTGCATATTTAAGAGCTAAAAAGTAACATTTTTAGTATTACAACTTCCGAGCTCTACTGATTATATATTAAACTTAATGCATACTACAATTTACAGGGAATACATATAGACTTACACCATATATAGTAATTAGAATGTATTTATTAATTTGTTTGATTATGTATTGTTAGTATATTTTAGTATATAATCAATCAATAATATACAAAAAAATATATTCGTATAATCATATCAATAGCATTGTATACTACAAACTATTTTGAACTTTTTTAAATTAGAACTATTTAACTCTTTATTTATAGTGTATATCAGTGGTTGACAAAATTCCTTGTACTTTATAATTTTTATGCCATATAAAAACACAATATTTAAAATATATGTATGTATATATACTACTAAGTATTAAACTTAAGTAAATAGTAATGTTTGAATTTAAGCCACTATATCATTTGTGGAGCTCCAGTGCCCAACGGAGCTCAATTTTATACCACTGGTATATATTTATATATATTATGCATTTGTTACCTATTTACTTAGTATACTGAGTTTTTTAATTAATTAATTCAGAATATGACCTTTTTAAATTATGATAATATGTTTTTTTTTCAATACTTATTTTAACATGTGTTCATTATATTTTAATTAACAAACAGTTACATTTGTAATGTTTTTGAAAATTGTTCTCTGTATTTGTTAAGTACATCATTCTTTAATAAAAATTTAAACTAGTGTATAATTTCTATAAGTTTTGGAATATTTTTTATTGAACTATATAATCAAAATTAATTTTTCATCATATTGTGTAAACAGATTTTTTCATCTCTTAATATTTCATACCATTATAATCTTATAATTGTATAAAATGATTAATTAATTAATAAAAAAAATGTGTTATAGAATTGTCAAAGGATTTGGTTAGGGATGTACGACTCAACACAACCTACCAAAGATGAGAAACAAATTAAAGATTTTATGGTTGCTAAATACGAAAAAAAAATGTATTATTCTGATCCAGTTTCTCAAAAATTGAATAATGGTATTCAAGCAAAATCGACTGTTACCACACCTATTATCACTGCAGCCTATGAAGTAAACATAAACTATATTTTCATTATTAAGAATTCAATAATCACTCAATTATTATGGTTTACTTATATTTGCTATAATATATCATTTTATTTTATACATTTTAGAAACCTATTAACATAACTACACCAGCCATAAATATATCATCACCAAACAAATTTGAATTTTTTAAAGAAGAACCTCTTGCTCAAAATCATCAGTCTCCCATTCAAACAGCTCAATCGTTTGCAAATTTTGATAATAATCCAGCATTTTCTACATCTTTTGATATTTCAAAAAGTATCGGTATGTTTAACAATATTATGTAATTTATAATTTAATTTTAAGCGTATAAAATATTTGATTGGGTCTGTTAATCAAATTTTAAATTTCTATCTTATAAATATTATTTTATAATTGCTCATAATAAAGTTATAAGAGTTTTCAGGTTTGAATTTTATACCATTGATGTATATTTTTGAAAGTAATATTCAAAAATAGAAGTATACTTTTCATACTTTTTTTTTGTTTTTTTAATCTCATGTAATTTTTCAAACCGTTTTTATGAATCTATTTTAATAAATATTAAAATACCCATTAAAAATTATATTTCAGTTTAACAGTTTATTAGTGAAAAATATCTTTAATATTATGTTTATATTTTCAATACAATTTTTGCAATGCTTTTCATTAGTATATTGTTTTTTAATAAACCATATAATCTAGGAATACTAATATTTAATATTTATTGGTTTATGTTAAGACTTAAATTTTAAGTTTGTTCAACCGCTACAAACTGGGTATTTTGATTATTTGACATCAAATCCAATACATTTTTCACCAGCAAGAAAACCAAACAACATAAATAATCGATGGAGTGAGTTTTATATTGGTTTTGTGTTGTAATTTTTTCCATCTTTAGTTATGTATGTGAAGTTAAATAATGTAGACATTATTATTTGCAAAAATATTATTTATTTTATAATTAGCTTAATGAAGTTGTATGTATTTGTTTATTTTTTTTTTCTTTAACTACAGAAATATCTTGAAATTATAAATATTAAGCCTATTCACTTTTTTTATTTTTATTGTGTTCAATTATATTTTTATCTGTTAGTATCAATTTAAACATCATATTTAACAAAAAAAACATTTAGGTAGTTAGCTTAAGTACTATAAACAGAATACAATACAAATATTAAATTTTCTTGTCTTTAAAATTATTTTGTTTAAGAGTTTAAATTCACAACCTTTCAAATTAATAACAAACCTTTTTAATTAAAAGATAATTGAGGATATTTTTGTATATATCTATTTCATTGTATGATGAAATGTATAGTATAATTTGAATTCGTTCTTAATATATTTACAATTTTATGTTTTATTTTTGATATTCTATTATGTAACATTATGTATTATAAAACTGTTTTTATTTGATATTAACATTTTAATTTTTCTTAGCAAGACATTTTTATTTAGCATTTTTAGATTTAAAGTTTTATTTATAGTTTTGTTTTTAAATTTGTATTTTGTTAAACAAATTTGTTTTGCTAATTATTTTTTCCTACAAATATAGGTGTTGCGATAGAAAGTACTAGTCCTAGTACTAGTTGGAAATCTAATGGTTCTCAAGCACCATCTGAAGACCGCTATGCTGCATTGAAAGATCTCGATTGTTTAATGAAATCTCAAGTTCATCAAGATACTCCTCCCCAATTAGATAATAGTAACAGCTCTGCATGGAGTAAGTGAAAATATAATTTACTTACAATAGGTATACAATCATTTATAATTACTAAAATATTTTAAAAATTTTTGTAGGTTCTGATGCATCTTTAAATGGTACATGGAGTAATCAAGTATCTGAGAATACTACTCAAAACCCATTCAAAAGTAAGAATACTTGTTTGTAATTTATATTTTGTACTTTTAATAATTTTATTTTATTATTTTTATTTGCAAAAGGTAATAACAACTTGTTTAATTTTTTAATTGTAGGTTGTATTCAAGATAGCTGGGCTCCATCAAACCATGTAGTTAATCCATTTATAAATAATAAATCAGGTATTTGATAACAATAGAAAAAAATAATCAAGGCTTAATTTAAAAATTGTTTTTACTTTTATTCATTTATTTTATAGATGATTGGGAGAATAATATTCAATGGCCAAATGGTTTAACTTCTAGTCAATCAATGGGTTTTAATGATGTAAAACCATGGAGTGCAGATTTTGCCAATCCTTTTAAAGTATAATAATATGAATTATTATAACAGAAATTATTCTTAGATTATTTTTTTTTTTTATAAATTTAGATTGGATCAGATTCCCCATTAAACAAACATTCAAGTAATCCATTTTTATAAAACTAATATCAAAAGAAGAAGGAAATATATCTGGTAAATTGAAAAGCATTAAACTGTAATATAGTTATTGCTATATAGCTATAGCAAGGAGATTTATTATATTTTTGTTAAAAACATTGTAATAAATCTAAAATAAAATTTTAATTTTAATAATGCTTTATAGTTAAACAAAATTTATGAATTATACATTGCATGTGTGTAAGCATATTACCACTTCATGCGAGCAAGCCGATAAGCATTTTTCCTACATAAAAATGTATGCAACTATCTAGTCTTGCTATATTAATAGTTTGCTTCAATTTCTATTTTCTTTGTAATATTTTTTTTTAAACATTTAGATAATTAATTTTGTAAGTTTTAAACATAATCGCAATGAATGTATACAATATGTTATATCAAACAAAATTTTCAATCTTATATAAATATTTTAAAAACATAGCTTATTTTTAATAGTTGAGTAACTATATAAAATCATTTACATAACTATATGCATATACCAGTAACTTGGTATATATATATATATTTTACTCAAATGGTTATCATATTAAAATAAAATAATACTATAATATCTAAAATATTCATGTATTTTAATCATATCAAATCATTTAATATAATTTAATTTGTGTATTTCTTATAAATCATATAAAAAAAAGGAGTAACTAATTTATATTAATATAAGTTATCAATTTCATTATATTCTTAAAATAAATTTGGTTGGATGTTTAATTTTGTTACTTTGTTAAATTACTACGACAACTGATATTTTATGCAAATTTTTGAGTCTTAAATTATTAAAAAATACATACTTCTGATATTCTGGTATTTTTGATTTTGTTTAAAGAAAAATAAGATAAATTTTAAATGGCTTTTTTTTTTTAAAGCTATTTGTAAACATTTCGGACCGTCCATTAAAATTTATCATGGAGTTTTATGATACTCATAGAATGTTTTGTATTATTATATTTTTATCCAATGGCAATTATAATATATAATATATGTATTGAAAATTATAACCCATTGGTATATTATGCTTAAATATATATATTTAAAAGCCAAAATATTAAACAAATTTTGGAATATTCAGGAAGTTGAAAGTTTTCTGGATTATAATGTTGAATTGTAAGAACCTTAACATTAAAGTATATTCATGAATTATATTTATTGAATCTCTATGCTTACATTCTGTATACATACTTATATTGATAAATATTTGTATGTTGTTACTGTTTGTAATTGATATCTATTATGTGTTAACTATTAGATTTTAAATAATATTTATATTCAGTTATTAGTTTTATTTCTTTATTTTTTGAAAAAATATAAACTTTTTATTGTATTAATTCATTAAAAATGATTATATAATAAATTAATATTGAACAAAATTTGTAATAATTAAACTTTAAATTAAACTAATAATTAATAAACTATTTTGAATAATAGATTTTCATATTTTTTCGATTGTGAATTTTAAAAATTATTTTTATTTATAAAAAGAATTTCAATTTCAATATTCATAGTATTCAAAAAAGTATTGCTGTATCAAAATACTATAATATTAATATCATATATTATCAAAGGTTTGCCTTATTAATGTTTTTGGTTATTTAAAAAGAAATCTTGGAATTCATTAGTTTGGAAAAACATTGTGTTTATTTTTAAATTTTTTAATCAAATAAAATATTATTGGGCATCAAATTAACTATTTTAATTTATAGTGAAGTATCTTTATAAATTAATATATTATAAAATACTCTTTAAATTTCAATCAATTATTATATTTATTATTTGGTTGTTTTTAAAACACAATTTATTGTTTTTATCTTTGCTGATATATATTTCTTATATATTAATATATAAATGGATAAATAATTTAATAGTTCTATAGTTGTAAAATAATATTGTTTAATTTTATATTAGTAATTTATAATTTTTATATTAATACACTATATTTGATGCTAAATTTTTTTGAAATCTTAATCGTGTCCACCAAAGTATGTTAATCATGTTTAACAATTTTAACTGTGATAATTTTTTTATCTTACCCAAAATGTATGTTTAATTTAAAGAATGTTTATTAAATAATAAGTTAAGATTAAAATTGTATTTTGAATGTGCTTTATTTCTCAATGTCAGTAATTATTTATTTTATGTCAAATAGTTATCTTTCAATTTTTGATAGGTAGTAAAATAAAAAATACAAAAGTTGCCTTGATTCAGTAATATTTTTGCGTACCTATACCAATAATATTTTATTAAAAATATCATATTACCTACAATATTTAAAAAAATGATACTATTAACTATACACTTGAACATCTATATTTTTTTAAAATTTATCAAGACTTATATTTTTTATACCATTTATTCAATTGTAATTTATTTTAAATTTTAATGCACTTTTTAATTGACCAAATAATTTTATGAAGTTGGATACAGAAACCAATTAAAAAAATATATTTTATCTTCATGTGTCAATTAATTCACTCGTATATTATATATTTATCCATTTTATTTAATAATCATAAATCTTAAATAGTTAACATTTTATTAAAATGTACATATACCATAGTACCTTAATTTATTATATTAATTTAAGCCAATACGTATAATGTTTTATATAAATTGTGCACAGAGTGTTTTAAACTCGTATGGTTTCATAATAGTTATGTATACATTTTTTTAAAAATGATGCTGTGTTTTTTATTTTCTTTACTTATAGGTATGTTGAATTTGTCATAATATATGAAACTTTCAGTGTTTTGGAAACAAAATAATTTACAAACAACAAATGTTAATAAATAACAATTTAACATTTAAATATTAAATGACAAATTAGAATTCTGTCTGATCAGTGAATTATATACAAATAGAAAAAAATTGTTAAAATGTCACTTTCATTAGCCCAATAGTTTTAAAATTACACTTGAAGTGTTAAATATAATGCAAAATAATTTTCGAGTGGTTTATATATTTATATATATATATGTATATTATATTACTTGATTGAAATTATTATTCTTTAGTCTAACTGAACACTTTAACTTGATAAAACAACATTTAAATTAATTCTTGCACTACTCAATTTAAATTGTTTAAAAATTAAATTTTATAATAAACCATTTTTATTGAATTATTTAAAATCTCAAAAAGTGAAAGCTTAAGTGTTTACTTACATTTTTGTTTATTCAATTTTGATTTTGTTAATATTTCTTTTCTCCGGTAGTATTGTTATAAAATATTTTATTGGTAATGGTATGCAATTTTTCAGTATAAAAGACTTAATTTTTGTAAAACTTATTAAAAATGATAAAAAAATAAAATTTTATTATAAATTTATTAATGCCTTTAATCATAGCTATTTTATCATGTGTGAGGGAAGTGCATTGACATTAGTTAAAAACTACACATTCATTCAAGGTAGAATGAACAATATTTATGTAACTGTTTGACATTTTAACTGTTTCTTTAATATAAGTTATATTTTAAGTCATTTAATTTAATTAAAACTGTTGCTAAATAATGATACGCAATAATTATATACAATTATTTTTAACAAGTCAACATTTAATTTTTAGCCGTTAATTATGTCTGCCAAAAAGAAATGGAAATTATGTTATTGTGTTAAAACTTTTAATAATCAGTAGAAATTAACCATATTATTATATTTACATTTGTTGGCCTATATTTATGTATGGATAAAAGTATATATTTTTTAACCCTATTCTATATATTAATTTTCTATAGTTGTGTTTTCTTGCTTTAATACATATTTAATATTATAAATATTTGTAACATTATATATTTTTAGTAAATTTTTGTAAATGCAATGATACTCTATTGCAGAATACTGAATTTATTCTTTTAAATAACTATTATACACCATATATCATGTAAATGTTGACAAACCTATATAAACCTATACTCATATGTATATTTGAACAATTATATTGTTACTAATTATAATTGCCTTATTATTTGTATTAAAAAAAAGAAAATTACAATAACTTGAGAAAATACCTATATTATAATATTATTGTTAAATTATTGTTTTCTTTTATTAAAATTATTTACATTACTCTGTGATATAGAAATATTAAATAAAATAAATTTATTAATATTTAAAAAAAATATATACTACCTCAATGTTTGTTGTTTATATGTTATATTTTTATATTTCTTGAGTATTTAGTATATTATTTTTAAATAATGGTGCAAAATATTTAGTATAAATTTTTCGCTATATTTGTGTACTATATTTTTTACGCTAGTTATTTATAAAAAGAACATCTCAATATTATATTCTTTCAAAATGTTTTATTTCCTTATATTATTTGAATTTAATTTATTATAAATTATTGGTAACTCAGGCCATTGGGTGTTGGATGTTTTTGGTGTGTTGGTTTGTTTGTGTGGTAAATGTTGAATGGGAGATCCTTGATGTTTTCTTTTTTCTAGGAGGTTGTTCCACCCATAAAATAAAACCATCAGTGACTGTTCGAACCGGTGAGGTTAAACACAACATTCATATCTCACTTTGCTATAACCCTCCCCCTTTGATTTATTGAGAATTATAAATATATTTATTTAATCTTTAAAATAGAACATTATATTGATATGGAAATATAATTTATGTGAAATTTGGTCTTTAGATTAACAAGATGAATATAAATTTTTTTTAAATCATAATAAAAATATATAATTTTTATTTGTATTTTGATTCTACTATACATTTCAAAAGTTGAATATTTAATTGAATAGAAATAAAAAATAAAATAAATTTAATTAAGTTATTAAAGCTAATTTCTAATAGAATTAAGTTTATTTTATATTATCAGTAAGGAATTGAACAATGATAGTGTATTATAGGGGAAAAGGCTTAAGCAATTTAGCTAAAAAATTACCATCGAGAACATTTATAGCAAATAATACAATTGAAATGCATGACAAATTCATTTATATGACATTAGTTGTTTACATTTAGCTTACTTATTATAATTAAAGAATGATAATAGTGAATATTAACCCTATAACTATTATTTGAGTATTAAAAAAAATCTATTGTTTTTAGAACAATAACATATAGTTATAGTTCTGACTCATATAAAAATGTTAAAAATGTTACCATTGTTTTTTTATAAAACAATTCATTTTCA